ACCTGTGTGCTCTGGTATCTGTGTACCTTTCACTACTATTTGGTTTAAATTTTTACCTTCTCACACAGTCCCACGGAACTGGGCATTGAACAGGTTAATTAAGTCCTTGCCTTTAAGGAGCTCACACTCCCACAGGAGAGACAAACCCGTATGTAAATAATTCCAACACAGTGTGACAAGAGCTGTAGATGGGTGTGTAAAGAATGATGAGAACACAGACCAGGGAAGAGCTGGTCCTGCCTCCTTCCCAGAGAAAGCCTGGAGGAGACGCTGGGCCCCAGCTCAGGCTGAGAGGCCAGTGGGCACGTTTGGGTACAGGGAGGCTGCGCGCTCCTGGAAGAACTAAGGCAGAGGCACGTCCCGCTGGGGGCCCAGTGAGCCAGAGATGAAGCTGCAAGGACACTGACGGCCGAGGCGGGGAGGCCCCTTAGAAGACAGGTGTCATAGCAGCCCCCAGGAGAGAGGTGATGAGGGCTGGGGGAGGCTAGAGGAGAGCTGCTTCCCATCCCACTGGGAAGCAAGGCAAGGATGTGGATTTTTGGTTTCACCTGCACCCCTGGAGCTATATTCATTCAGCTGAGCACAGCAGTTAGGAATATATTCTCTTGAGGGTGTCAGGACAGCAGACTAGCTGGGAAAAGTAGCTTCTCTCCTATGGCAGAGGGGTGGCGAGTGAGGGTCCAAGCCAAGAGGAGCCCCGCAGTCTGCGTGAGAGGCCTTGGTGACTCACGTGGCCGTGACCAGTCCAGGCAACGCCAGCTGTGGACCTCCGACCAGCTCTGCCCTCCTAACAATCCTCCCCACTCCACCCTGCTCCTATACACAATCCTTGGTTTAACAGCAACTGACTAAGACCCTCCAAAGGACCTGCTCCCAGCTCTCCACAGGGAAATTGATAGAACCTCAGATGGAGCCGGTGATATCCCAGAATGCTGACAAACCACACACACACACACACACACACACACACACACACACACACACACACACACACACACACACACGGGCTGCCCAGATAGTTATCTTTTCGCCCAGATAGTTATCTTTTCGTGGTCCTTTAAAGGTTTCCTTTGATGTCAAGGAAAGACCAACTACTTAGCATGGTGTCCTCCTGATAAAGGGTTTGAGGTAGGAGTGGGGCCAAGGTGTGGCACAAGCTTCCTAATTACACGTAAGGCAGAAGGAATTCTAAAAGGGAAGGTATGATTTTAATTAGCTCATTTTCTAAGTGGTGTTAGTTATCTAAAAATATCAAGGGGAAGGGAAAAGGAACAAAAGGGTTGTTACCTTTCCCAACTAATGATTTCATTTTTGTTTTTAATTAAGTTTACTGCCTTCCATTATGAAGGGAACACATGTCATCATAGAAAATTTGGAAAATACAGAAATACATAATATACTAGAAAGCACAAGAAAGGAAAAGAATCAATAAGCCATACTTCCACGTACAGGCAGACCTCAGAGATACTTCGGGTTTGGTTCCAGACCATCTCAACAAAGCAAATAACAATAAATCAACGTGTATACATTTTTTGGTTTCCCAGTGCAAGTAAGAGTTATGTTTACTCTATACTGTAGTGTATTAAGTGTGCAACAGCATTGTGTCTAACAAAAGTACACACCTTAATTTAAAAAATACTTTATTGCTAAAAAATGCTGACACAGAGACACAAAGTGAGCACATGCTGTTGGAAAAATGGCACCAACGGATTGGTTCGACGCAGAGTTGCCACAAACCTTCAATGTGTAAAAAACACAGTATCTGCGAAGTGCAATACAACGAGGGATGCCTGTATTGGTTACTAATTCTTTTATGTTTTCATTTTTGATTTTAAAGAATTGTTATGGTTGTGATCTCACAATATATACTATTTTACATCCATTTTTCAATGCAACTGACAAATTGAAGGTGACTGGATGTTAAAATGAGTGTTACGGAATTAACTGTGGTGATGCCTGACAACTCTGTACATACACTAAAAATACTGAATTGTACACTTTATGTTGGTGAATTGTATGACATAAGAATTGATATCTCAATAAAGGTGTCAAAAATGGCTCGTAAACTTTATTTTTCATGTTTATGTAACATTCTCCAGACATTCTGTGTAATGCAGGAAGTTACACATCACCTGTGTAATATAGTCTTACATAATCATTCACTTAATTGCTGCTCAACTAAAAGGTGTACCTGGGTTTTTCACTACCACAACCAATGCTAATATTAACATCTTTGGTACACTGAGCTCTTATGAATATCATATTCTTTCATCCCAGTAGTTTCTTAGAAGGATTTAAGGTTTTAAAAATACTGACAATCTGGCCGGGCGCGGCGGCTCACGCCTGTAATCCTAGCTCTCTGGGAGGCAGAGGCGGGAGGATTGCTTGAGCTCAGGAGTTCGAAACCAGCCTGAGCAAGAGCGAGACCTCGTCTCTACTATAAATAGAAAGAAATTAGCCAAACAACTAACAATAAAAAAAATTAGCCAGGCACGGTGGCACGTGCCTGTAGCCCCAGCTACTTGGGAGGCTGAGGCAGAAGGATCACTTGAGCCCAGGAGTTTGAGGTTGCTGTGAGCTAGGCTGACGCCACGGCACTCTAGCCTGGGCAACAGAGTGAGACTCTGTCTCAAAAAAAATAAATAAATAAAAATATTGACAATCTAGAAATTATTTTAGAGGATCAATGGATTTAACTTAAGAAAACTTAGTTATTCTCTAACATCATCGGCCCCAAAAATAAATTAGTAAATAAAAAGTGGTCCGAAGTGAAACTTACTGAACATTAATTCTGGCGGGGGGAAGAGGAGGTAGGGGAGCTAAAGCTGGACCACAAATGTGAAACATATCAGATATCAATAAGATCACAGCCAGACAATGTTTTTCATGCCCCAAAATAATTCAAGGCAAAGGAAAAAAAATCTAATCCTAACAGGTGGCGGCTACATGATAGTGCTTAAGGACGCAGGCCTGGAGCGGGACAGAGCTGCGTTCAAATCCCCATTTGAACGAAAGCCAAGAGACCTCAAGCATGCTAATCCCGAACTGTGTCGCCCAAAAACTGGGGATGAGAGAACATCACGTCGGAGATTGTTTGGTGCAGTCTGTGCCCGTAATGAGCACTCGATAAACAGTCATGATGATGACGATGATGTCACCTGCTTTTGATCAAACTGGAATGCAGAAATCCAAGTCTCCGCCCTCCAGAAGTTTCTGCTTAAAAACTACAGTATTTTTCTCCTAACTCAGAAAGGGCCTGAAGGTATTTTCATTACCATGAGAGTTTCAGCTGTGACCAGAACTCATTTGCGCAATCTTTACATTCCAGTGCGCTAAATGCTTTCTCACGCAGGGATAAAAGCAGCCTTTGTCCTAAGCTTGTGAAAGGCACCATCTTTGTCAGATGAGTTAACTGTTAAACTTCGAGTGTGTTGCTGCAATGGCGTGTTGGGAAACCACAAAAATCTAGACACACCCAAGTAGTGGAATAGGATGAGTTTTTAAAAAGCAGACTATGTGTGTGCGTGCGCATGCATGTGTGTGCATGTTTTTTAAGGTAACACATTTCGAGTACTGTCTACATGCCAGGCACCGTGCTAAGTGCTTTTTCAAGGTCTAATGTGATTCTCCTTTCAGCTGTCCAGGCAGCCTTTCCGGTGGTGGCCTGCAGTGTCCCCAGGCAACAGAAGGCTGCTCTGACTCAGATGATGCAAACCCTTACATCTTGTTAGAGCCACAGGACAAAAACGGATTTTCCTACTCTTCCTCCGGACTCTGGAAACAAAGTCATCAGTGTCTACAAGAGTGTTAGGAAAAGTGGCTGTGTAATTTATTTTCCAAAATAAGACAGTTCTGAGACTGAGAGGGGCACTATTAGTAAATACGCGGGCATAAACCAGGGTGTGTGTCACCCTAGTTTTACGATCCCAGGTCATCCTGGCTGAAGTTTCTTAGTCTCTCTGGGACTAAGATGAGACTACTGGGATGAACTGTGTATGTGAACTGTGTAAGTGCATCGGTAACTTAAAACACCCTACTTAGAAGAGAAAAATTTGACGTGGCTCTTCAGCAGGGGCATGAACCTGCAGCTGCTCTAATTGCTGGGTCACATCTGTTTCCAAATCTAGCCTCAAGGCAAAATGAAATGCTCTGTTCAAAGCGGTGAAAAGTGGAGAATCTCAAGAGTCACCACAATCATTGCAATGTTTTCAGGGACTTGGAGGATGGGGCAACCCCAAATATTGCTTCATTGACATAAACCCCCAAAAGCCTGAACATCCACTTTTACAGATCTGGAAAACAACATGATGACCTGAACAAGTTCTTGCTCCACACTAACCAATTAAATGCTTTATTTGCTTCATTGCTTTATTTCAAAAGGGAGGCTTCTATGTCTCCTATCTTCTTTACTCATCCTGGAACTCGAGGAAACACACTCACTCTGACAGCTCTTCTTATCCCAGCTCCTGGTCTAAGGGCAATGTCTTAGGGGTAAAAAAAGTCTGGATTTTTCACTCATTAGATCAATCTAAGAGCAAAGTAGCAAAATTTTCCCAGCATTTTTCCAACAAATGTAATGAAATTCAAAGAGATTCAAAACAAGAAGGTCCTTAGGAATCACCAGGACCAACTTCTTCCTTGCAGAAGAGGAACTGAGACCTCAAAGTGAAGAGCCAAGCCCAAAGCACACAACCCTGGGGTCAGATCTTGCTTTTAGCGTGTTTCGTTTTATTATACTGTTTGGCTAAAACATCATCTCATGCTTTGGATCTTCTTCTCTCCAAAGAAGGCAAGGAGGGAGGAAGGGAGGGGAAGAGGGAGGAAAGAAAGAGAAAGAAGGAGAGATGAAAGGAAGGAAGAGAGAGGTATGGGGTGGGCGAGGTTTGGATTCACTCCATCAAAGCCCGATGACAATTTCAAATGATCAATGTATGGGTAAAGAGACAACCAGGAATGCCTCAGTAAGACCCTGACAAGAGGAGGACAAATGTATCGCCTACCTTTGGTCTTGATGGCCGTTTCAATGTTCAAAGCATCCCGCTCAGCATCAAAGTTGGTGTAGGCTTTGACTGACCCATACGCACTTGCGGGTGTCGAGTGCTGAGGTTAAAAGACAAACACACTCAAATAACACACATTTAAAATCCTCTTGCTGAGATAACAATTCCTAAAATAAATTTTTTCTGATTGTTTATCAGTTCAAATCGTTCTCATACTAAGTAACCAGGTTACGTATTAACATGACATCACACATCAGATATGAAATCTCATTTTTTTTCTCGTGAGAATTCTTCCTCACAGTCTCAGCCAGTTTAGAACATGTTGTCTAAATGACCACTTTTCCTCTTACTTTCAGGGAGAGCTCACAAGCAGACAATGCAAAGCAGAGGACCTGAAACCAGCATTCACTCAGGAAGGCTTTGAAAGTAAACTGGGCTGGCAACAATTCAAAATGAGGTAGAAATGTAGAAATGCCTGAATGACAAGAGTGTTTAGCCAAGTTTCTGCTACAGGCACATGAATTTCCACTGGGCCCCTGTCACGGAGCTCACAATGCAGACAAGCGAGGGAAGTGGCGTCCTCCACGACACTGTGGCCACCACCATGGCACGAGGGTGGTCTAACCAGACAGCCACCTCTTCTTCGTGTTGGCCAAGCTCCTGCTCCTCTCTTTCGCCTCCACTCCTGTCTCTCCTCTCTTCTTCTCTGTATTTTCCCCTCTGCCTGCTCTAACACTATCCCCTCTGCCTACCTTCCTTCCTAGTATTTTTATTCTTATCGTCTTTTAAGCCACGCACTCTTCCAGTGCTTTTCAAAGTCCGTTATCCTTCCTGATCTGCTCGGGGAATCTTTCCCACCTGCACCCTAACCCGCCCCAGACTGGGGTAAGGACAACGGCATGTTTCTACATCAGTTCTCCTTTCCAAGGCTTCAACTTCCCCCCTTGTTTGAAATGCTCTTACAGTTCCTCTCCCTCTCTCCCCGCTACCCAGTCCCAAAGCGAAGGGCAGACCAAGAGAATGGACGCTGCAGTTCTGGCTGGTGGAAACATCACCACTGCCCCGCCCGCAAGGTAAGGCTCCCATCCTTCAGCGCCCCCACTGCCACCCCCCGGCACATAATGCCCATATAATGTGGTCACTCGGCCTTGGCACGGTTCCTGTGAACAGTTAAGAGACCGAGATGCCCTGACTTCCTTCTCCATGTTACAAACCACCCAGCGGTTATTTACAAAGGCAGGCAGTCTGGCCATTGAGCCATAGCACACAGAGCTTCATTTGCCCAGAGACACGCCATCTCATTCGAAAAACAACAGTGAGTGGGGAAAGTTCCGCATAATTTTATAGCGTCTCTGGAAACAAAACTAAATGGAGAACTGAACTTATTACCTATAAAAACTTGTCTGAAAATTAAATTATTGAGGCAAAGGTGATCTTTTCGTCCCTCAAAATACTGAGGAATGTGTGACATTTTCTAGTTCTGTCCACGCAGGGAAATGTATCCTATTAGAGAAACTTCAGAGACGACAGGAAAAGTCCTCTCGTGAAACCTGATACTATAAACAATCTAACGACTAAATCCACTAGAGACATAAATTATTTAGCACCTGGACTTGTCCGGACCTCAACATGCAGCTTGTATTGTTACCAACAACAGCACACTCAAGTTTCAAGAAGAGGAAGATTTTAAAAACTATATATAGCTTTATACTCCAAACAACCTGTGTTTGCCAAGCCTCCATTCATTTGCACGTTTTGATGGCAAGTGCCACAGACAATACATAGGGTTTTGTACCACGTGACCCAAAGCACTGTCAACCTTCTTTTGAGTGCTTCTTTGCATTTTAATTTCAATAAGAGCATATTTTGAAATATCTGCAGGCTATGGCTACAAACCAGTGTCAGTGCTGGGTTTTTGTAAAAGCCATTTCTGCCAAAATGACCTGGAAGATGTATAGTATTATTAGTTATTTTCCATATTCATAATTTAGATTCTACTTGATTCTACAAGTATTTGCAATGATTTATAATTTAACATATATATATAACATATAATTTATAATTTATGTTATATAACATATAATTTAACTTTACAAATTTTAACTGTAAAAGAGATAATAAGCAAATGCATCCAAATTTCCACGTTCGCATAGTTCCTGCGAAGACAATTAAATTTAATCCTGAGCTCCCTGATAGCCAAAGCAAAAGGGAAACATGACAAGTTATAATAATTTCATTATTTTGTTTAAAAAAAAAAAAAAAGTCCTAGCTCTTTCCAAAAACTTTCCCAGGTGCTAAATTTAAAAAAAAAGTATAGGTCCTTATCTGGAAAAACTTCCTGAATACTGTAAGAAGTCCAAAAGACACGGAATCATTTTTGATATGGCTGTAGCTTATGCCAATCATTAAAAAAATCCAAGGGCATGACATTAAAAGGCATGTATCGCCATAACGATTATCACCATTGACAGGTATGGCAGGATAAAATTCCAGCCATCGCAGTGTCACTAACTCTGACCAATTTTAATGTGATGCCAAAAAAGTTTCCAGTGCCATGACATTTTCTTCAAATTGAACTACTAAGAACAGCTAAAGTAATGAGAAAAGGGGAGAACCAAATAATGACTCTCTGAATTTTGTGCCCGTTTTCCTTACGTGTACAAGGAAGGAGAGCAGCACAGTTATCCACAGAGACAGCCAATTTGCATGAATTACGTAAAGTGAAAATGATATACTTACATCACCCTCCAAGCTGAGCTTGCAGAGAATTTCATGAACAGTAGACATTTTGAAAGAAGCTGGAAAAAAAAGTACAACAAAATGTCTTTAGAAGAGGCTTTCCTTTCCCTCAAAGCACAGGGATTCATCTCACTAATTTCTACATCTTGGACCATTTCGTCAGAGGATATTGGAGTAATTTTTGCAAACAGATGCAATTCCCATCTTATAACTGGGAAAATTAATGCTTAGAGATGGTTTGCCTTAAGTCTGGGATGGACTATTAAACCAGCCAGACTTTCTCTTGCTCTGTTTAAAAAGAACCTGGGAGACTGATTTGTGAACACTAAAACAAAATGCTCCTCACGGCTAACGCAACTTGCTCAAAAGGATGAAACTGAGTCGTCCACTTCTCATAAAAGGTGTTAAGCTTGTCAAACCATCCACTACTACTTCTGTATTTCTCACAAGCAATTGAACCTATTGAGAAGAACCTGAAAGCTACAGGTGTGAACTGAAATCAGTAGCATCTTCCTGTTGGCCTATTCCTAATTGGAATCCTTTATCTCTACCCGTAATTATTTTCTCAGTCCAATGATGCTTGGAAGATATTAAACTGTTTATGAGAAAGACAACAGACAGATTTTCTGACCTTAACTCATTCCATAAAGGACTGAATCCCTTGTATTTAAGATTCAAAATGTCTGAAATGAAGTCATCTTCCAGAAATACACTTAATGGAGCAGAAAGACAATGGCCTGATGAATCGGCTTTCCGGCTTTGCAATCTTACATTTCTTGGAATTTACACCCAACCCCTGCCAATAAGGAGTGCTTGATTGGTAGTAAATTCACTTCAGCTGAGACGAGACAGGTTATTTGGCATAATCACCTCAAAAATAAAGAAAATAGAGTAGAGCCGCATCCGGAAATAGTTAGGAACAACATTTAAACTGCAGCACCTCTGCTTTGGTCTCTCTTTGCTTAATATTCTTTGATCAAGGAAATTGTACATATACCAATTCAGCTTTCTGTTCCCTTCAGTTTGCTTAGTTTAAATATTTTCATAAAACTGGTCTGGAGAGAGTATTTGACATAGACATTTGCTAGTTTATAGCAGCACTTTTGACTAAGCATATTCCAGGCCCTGTGTGCTGTAGGAGGTGGCAGGATGTAAGAGGATACGATTCACCTTTATTTATGGTTAAGGATGTATTTAATGTTTCTGCAAGATTTCATCCTGAACCTCCACCCCTCTCTTCCTGATGCTGACAAAAGCTTGTTAGGCGTGGTAAAAGAAAGTCAGTCAAAGATATTCCAATTACCCCCACTCCCACAACTCTCAGACTCCTTCCCCTCTCCAATACGTCCTACCGATGGGTATAATTCTGGTTTGTAAAAAGCCTTGCTCTATAAATAAACTGTGGTACATCCAGACAATGGAACTTTTCAGCACTGAAAAGAAATGAGCTATCAAGCCACAAAAAGACATGGAGGAAACTTAAATGCATATTGCTAAGTGAAAGAAGCCAATCTGGAAAGGCTACAGACTGCATGGTTCCAACTATAAGACATTCTGGAAAAGGCAAAACTATGGAGACAGTAAAAAGATCAGTGGTTGCCAGGGGTTGGGGGGAAGGGAGATGAGTAGGCAGAGCACAGAGGATTTGTAAGGCAGTGAAATTACCCAGTATGATACTGGTGGATACACGTCATTATGTTTGTCAAAGCCCACATACAACACTAAGAGTGAATGCTAATGTAAACTATGAACTTTGAGGGATAATGAGTTGCCAATGTATGTTCACTGATTATAACGAACATGCCATTCTGGTGCACGATGTCAGCAGTGGGGAGGCTGTGCACGTGTGGGGGCAGGGGGTACATGGGAGCTGTCTGTACTTTCCACTCAATTTTTCTATGAACCTAAAACTGCCCTAAACAACAAGGCTATTAAAAGAAAAGTTCTGGCCGGACGCAGTGGCTCACGCCTGTAATCTTAGCACTCTAGGAGGCCGAGGCGGGTGGATTGCTCAAAGTCAGGAGTTCGAGATCAGCCTGAGCAAGAGCAAGACCCCCATCTCTACTAAAAAAAATAGAAAGAAATTATTTGGACAACTAAAAGTGTATATAGAAAAAATTAGCCAGGCATGGTGGCGTATGTCTGTAGTCCCAGCTACTCGGGAGGCTAAGGCAGAAGGATTGCTTGAGCCCAGGAGTTTGAGCTTGCTGTGAGCTAGGGTGATGCCATGGCACTCTACTCCTGGCAACAGAGACTCTGTCTCAAAAAAATAAAAGAAAAGTTTTGCTCTAAAGCTAAACTATCCAATACAGTAGCCACTAGCCTCATATGGCTATCAAGCATTTGAATTGTACTCAGTCCAAACTGAGATGTCCTGTAAGTGTAAAGGACACACTGAATTTCAAAGGCTTAGTATGAAAAAAAGAATGTAAAATCTCTAATTCGTAACTTTCACATTGGCGGGTGTGGTAGCTCACATGTATAAACTCACCACACTGGGAGGCCAAGACAGGTGGATTGCTTGAGCCCAGGAGTTCAAGGCCAGCCTGGGAAACACAGCAAGATCTTATCTCAAACAAAAAATTTAAAAATTAGCCAGGTATAGTGTTGTGCACCTATAGTCTCAGCTACTCAGGAGGCTGAGGCAGAAGGATCCGCTGAGCCCAGGAATTTGAGGTTACAGTGAGCTGTGATTGCACCACTGCACTTCAGCCTGGGCAACAGACTGAGAGTCTGTCTCAAAAATAAATAATATTTTTATATTAATTATATATTTCGACTATGCCAGGCACAGTGGCTGACGCCTGTAATCCTAGCACTGTGGGAGGCTGAGGCTGGAGGATAACTTGAGGCCAGGAGTTCAAGACCAGCCTGAGCAAAAGCTAGACTCTGTTTCTACTAAAAATAGAAAAATTAGCTATGCATGGTGGCACACGCCTATAGCCCCAGATACTTGGGAGGCTGAGGCGGAGGATTGCTTGAGCCCAGGAGCTGGAGGTTGCAGCGAGCTATGATGATGCCATTGTACTCTAGCAACAGAATGAGACTCTATCACACACACACAAAATATATATGTGTGTATGTGTATATATGTGTGTGTATGTGTATATATGTGTGTGTATATATATGTACGTGTATATATATGTGTGTATACGTGCGTGTGTGTATATATACATATAGCAACTATGGTATGTTGGGTAGATTGGGTTAAAAATATAGTATTTTAATTTAATTTCACCCATTTCTTTCACCTTTTTTTTAATGTGGCTACTAGAAAATTTATAAGCGTGTTTGTACCTTACATTCTACTTCTACTGGGCAGTGCTGGTCTAGAAGATCCTACAAAGCCAGGGTCCAATCTTAATCCAAAAACCTTTGTGGCAGCCAGGTCAGCTGAAGTCTGAGATACCTTGTGTTAAGACAGACAAGTTTGAGTCTTCCTTGACAGAGCAAGAAATCTCCAACTTCAACTTGGGCCTAGAAACATTCCAGAGGGACTCATCAGTATCCCTCAGCCTGAGAAATTCCAAAGCGGAGTTGAATTTCCTAGGACACTGAACCACTCAAGCCCTGGCCTTAACTATCACCCCTGGGACTCAGTCAGAACTGGACTAGGTCTGTGGCAAGAGATAAACCATTGTCATCTGCCTTGCAGAATTGCAGTCACTACTGTAAACAGCTAAGAAATAAAAATGCAAAAAAAAAAAAAACAAAACAGGGGACTAGCAAGTAAAAGTTATTACCATTCCAATGTATAGACTGAATTTCATTTATTTATTCATCAGGTTCTGATGTTGAGTAAGTCTCAACTAGAGGCACGGTAAGCTTTCATTGTGTTGTTCTTTCAAGTTCTTTCGACCTCTGAGCACTGGCTTTGTAGAAAGCTGCCCAGCCGTGCCCCACATGGACTCCCCAGTCCTGCACAGATCAAAGACAATCTGGTAGGCTTCCTTACACTCTTAGTTTGTTAATTCTTCTCCCACAGCCACACCTTGAGGAGACAAATAATAGGGACTTTTAAAAGCCCTGTAAATCTTCCTTTCCCTTTCACCGTTCATAATTGTGCCGCTTTCACCGTATCAGTCCAGCATGCCACTATCAACTACATTTCTATTTGATCTTGTCAAAATCGTTCAAAATCCATCCTCTGTGGCTTCCTCTTACCCCAGCAGAGCCAGGCCTTCAAAGATTAGCTTCAGAGAACAGCCTCAGCTCCCTCTACTCACTCCCCAGCGAAAGCAGACTGGGGCGCCAAACCGTTACTTGCCTCTCCCCAAACGTACGGTGCTCTTTTCTCCTCTAGCACCTTGGTTCATGCTTCCTCCCACATCATCTTTCTCTCACCTTTTTCGATTTATGGAGACCCTGCCCATTCCTCAAGTCACCACTACTTTGGCATCTGCTCCAATGGGGTCACCACGACCCCCGTGCCACAGAACTCCCTCCCGCCTTTCAATGCCAGAGCACTTTTTGAGGCCACTCCATTCACCCGCTCAGCAGATGTACTGAGTGCTCTCCACGTGCCTAGTATTCCAATGGTGATAGCCTGAGTACAGTTCAAGGCAGTAGGGAGTGTGGTTTACCTGTCTTCCCTACAGAGTCCCAGTTCCCCCATGGATTTAAGAGTATCTTTGCATACTCCAGGTGCTAAATAAACATGAAAACAATGAGTTGCTATTTTGCAGAGGTAATATTTATATTATTTATATCATTCTGCAGAAAAAGCAAAGATTTCATGATAATCACAAAGTCACAATTACCACAAGGCAATATTCATGAAGGTTGTCGTTACTCCACATAATGCCTTTTGTATCCATATTAGTATTTCCTATTTCCCTCTCTCTCTCTCTCTCTCTCTCTCTCTCTCTCTCTCTCTGGTTTTTTTTTAATTAGAGATAAGGTCTTGCTTTGTTGCCCGGACATGTGAGGGCAGTGACAGTGGCATGATTATAGCTCACTATAGCCTCAAACTCCTGGGCTCAAGTGATCCTCCTGCCTCAGCCACCCAAGTAGCTGGGACTACAGGTGCGTGCCACCATGCCTGGCTAATTTTTATAAC